GCACCTGGACCATCTGCCGCTGCTCTCCCGAGCCATAACCAGAGCTGGGTCTCGAGAGGATGTGAACCAGCATGCATATGGGATGCCAGTGCTGCAGGAGGAGGCCTGGCCTGCTGTGCCACGGTGCTGGCCCCAGACCTCACTGTGACCTGTGGAGGTGCCAGCCCTACACAGCCCCTGCTGGAAGAGGGGCCTGGGCTGGGAGCAGCTGCATTTCAGGGGGGGCGGCATCACAGCACCCTCCCTCCCCCCAGCAGTCCTTTCCCAGGACTGGCTGTGCTGAGCGCGCCTTGTTCTGCCGTGCCCGCTGGAGCTTGTGGAGGTGCTGGTGAAGGCCCTCGTGGCAGTGCACGTGGGAGGAAAACGGCTTTGCAGGGGCGAGTGTCCTGCACCGGGCAGACTGCCAGGGTGGCTGTGTGGCGTGGCAGGAGCACCCGGTGTTGAGTGGACCACCCTCTGGGTGTCCAAGTGGAGGTCTCCGGCTGGTAGCATCACTTAGAAGCTTGTCAGGGGCAGGACCTCACACCCAGGCCAAGTCCCTGGGATTAGAATCGCTCTCACAGGAGCCCTGTACCAAATGCACACATCACTAAATGCTGGGGGAGAAGCTGTCTCAGCAAGCTCATTTCTGTTTCCAGAGGCCTCTGTGGGCTGGGTCTGGAGGTCTGGGTGCAGCCCCATGGAGGGGGAAGAGCCCTGAGGTTCCTGGGGGCCCAGCTTCCACCCCTGCACTGCTGGTGTCATCCTTGAAGCGGGGGCAGCCTGCCACAACCCTGCACCCTGGTTACGACATGTCTCCAGACTGGTCCCCCGGGGAAATCACGCTGGTCCTGTCTTGTGCCTGCCACACAGCATGGCCTCCTGGGATTGGGAAACAGCCACCTAGCACATGCCCCTGGGCAGGAGGGCCCCCTAGGTGCTTGCTGTGCACCCAGGTGCCTGACCTGGAGACAGGGCCTGGGATCTGTCAGTAAGGGGACCCCAGGAAGGGCATGGCTGGAGCTGGGGCCTGGGAGCTCCAGTGTTTCTCAGCAGGTGCAGAGACCCTGTCCTATGGACAAGGGAGAGCGGAGGCTGATTGGAGGGGAGACGGGTGGGCCTATGTAGGGCTGGCACTGGCACAGGTTAAGCCTCTGTCTGCAGTGCCAGCATCCTATGTGGGTGCTGGTTCTAGTCCTGGCTGCTCTACTTCTGACCCAGCTCCCTGTTGGTGCACCTGGGAAAGCAGTGGAATGTGGCCCAAATGGCCCTGCACTCCGTGGGGGGCCCAGAGGAAGCTCCTGGCTCCCGGCTTTTGCGTGGCCCAAGCTTGGACATGCAGCCATTTGGGGAGTGAACCAACAGATGGAAGACGTCTCTCCCCCATCCCCTTCGCTCTCTCTCTGCCTTTTAAATAAATAAACCTTAAAAAAAAAAAAAAAAGACACCATAAGCCCTGCAACTGAGAGAGATGTAAGGAACCTGGAGACTTCCCCCACGTCTAGAAGTTCAAATGGAGGTACCGAGAAACGAAGGAGACGAGGCACTCAGGGACTCAAGTTTCAGGACAGCCTTGGTAGCCGGCCACCCCTCCCCCACTAGCCCAGCATAGTTGAGCTTTGGATCAGTTCCAGATTCCACAGAACGTACTGTTTGCATCCATGAAGTTGTTCAGAGGGATGTGCTTCCAGCTGTGTCCTCCCCAGCGAGGGGACCAGCAGCACTGGGTGGGTGGGGCCAGTCCTCACATCTGACAAACACCCTCAGGGCCACAGCTGGCTAAAGACAGCACACGGCTGGGGACGAGCCTGACCCACCCTGCGGGCCAGGCTGTGCCCCTCCACCACCACGGGGACCTGTGTGCCTCCCACTCCCGCCCTGGAATCAGCGGGGCTCTGGGGTGGGGGAGTGCTCTGCGGCCGAGCCGGCGCCTGGGTAGTGAGCAGCCACACAGAAGGGCTTTCTGGGGGCGGGCAGGGCTCCTCCTCCGGATGGGCTTTGAAGAGAGAAGGGCTTGTTCCCCTGCTGGTCGGCTGGGAACAGCTGAGCGTCCCCAGGTCACCCGTGGTCCAGCCGAGGTTCTCTGGGAACACACTGCGCGTCCACAGAGAGGTGCGCCGGCCCGAGGCTGGCTGCAGGGGCGGCCTGGAGGCCTCTGGGCAGACAGACAAGTCCTTTGACTCCTGTACTGGGGGAGGCCCGTGTGGGCCAACACAGACCTCGCCCAGCAGGCTGCTCCCGCTTCCCCGCGTTTGGAAAGCTCTCAGTCTCTAGCCACGGCTTGCACAGATGGGTTTCAATTGGTTCTTAAAAGAGCACAGCTCGCTCTGGGCGGGGGCTGCTTGCAGGGTTCCCAAGGCCTTGTCAGTACAGCACAAGGTGGGGGTAGTCTGCTCTGCCTGCGGGGGCCATTTCTTAGCTCTGGGGAGTGACAAGGCTACAGGTAAGGTGAGTAGGGTTTTCTGTAGATCCTGGTGGAGCCACGAGCAAGGGGAGGAAGGGCGTGAGAGGAAAGAGGCCTTCTCTGGTGTCGTGTGGGTTCACAGGGTCTCTCAAGCCCCCAAAACCACAGAAGTCAGGGGTCTTGCCAGCCAAGGCTCCCCAAGGAGCAGCACGAAGGCCCTTCGGTACCTCCCAGCCGTCCGCCTCTGGGTGCCGGTGGTACATTTTCCCAGCGCAGATCAGCTTCCTGGGAACACACGTCTGCTGCCGTCAGCTGTTTACACCTTAGGGTTACTGAGTTCATGGTCTTCGAAAGGGAGAAAATACTCAGTGACCTCTTCCCCCTGCAGGGCGGCGCACACAGCGTGTCCTCCCTCACTGCGCTGCCTCGCACCCAGTCCTCTGCTCCACAAGACCCGCCTGGCCACATGCCCAACTCATCACTGGGCACACTGGGATGGCTGGCCACCTGCTGTGTTCAGGCTGGCCTTACCTCTGTCCCAGGGCAGAGCTGTGGAGGAGGAGGCCGGGCCGGTGCCGCTGCGGCTCCGGAGCGTCTTCTGCCGGGGTGGGGTGGGCCAGGCTCCTGGGCAGCCGCCAGAGGCCCCCAGGTTGGCACAGCTCCCCTGCTGCAGCCTCCGGGGCTGCAGGTCCCACCCTCAGGCCCAGGTTCTACCTGCAGCTCCCACACCCTCTTTGGGGGCTGAGCCCTGATGGCCTGCTGTGGAGCTAAAGTCCGCACCACCCAGAGCACCCAAGGAGGCTGTGGGAACACAGGGCCTGGCACAGCTCGCTCCATGGGCTGCAGGTACCTCAGGTGTGGGAAGGCGGCTTTGAAGGGGCGGGTGGAGGGGGCCTGGCCTGGGAGCCGGAGACTCACACCAGCTGCTCCCTCGGCTTACTCCGCTAGGGTCACAGCTCCCTTTCCTGCAGCCGGGGCACAGAAGTTGGGCCCCCGCACCAGGCACAGAAGCCGGCAGGTGCAGCCTCCTGGTGGTGGGGAGGTGGGGTTTGCTGCCAGGGGCATGGGGCTGCCGGGGGAGATGTGGTGGGAGGTCTGTTGTGTGCCTGATGATGGCCAAGGCCCCACGTGGTTCTGGGCAGTGGGCCAAGAGGCTGAGTCTGGAGTGGTGCAAGCCCCCTACACCACCCGTGTGGAGACAGTGAAGCCAGCCTCCAAGGTGCGTACAGCAGTCTTCTCACCCACAGTCAGAAAAAACAGATTTTATTCTGGGCACAGGTTGCCAAAAAACCTCATCTGTGGTGGGGGTGGAGGCTGGGCCTATGCCAGCCGTGATCCTGAAGGCAGCCTGGACAGGCAAGTGACCTGGGTCAGGGAGAGCCTGGCCTCATTTGAACACAGACCTAGGAGAAAGGAAAGAGAAGTCAGTGCAGGGTGGTCACAGGGCAGGAACTGACAAGGGGCCATGGGGACAGGGCAGGCCCAGCGTCCCCAGCCTCTGAGGACTTCTGAGGCCATGGAGTCCTCCACACCTGCTCCCAGAGCCCTCAGCCTCACACCAGGGGCTCCAGACGCTGGAGCAGAAGTCATGCCCCAGACCTGTGCTGTGAAGGGACAGAACCGTCTGCCAGTTGAAGGTGGAGAGGAAAAGCTAGGCAGAGCAAGGGAGCACCCAAGGGACTGGGTGCCCCTGCACTGGTCACCCAGGTGCCCTGGCCAGGCTCGGGACCTCCCCTCCAAACACATGGCAGTGAGCATAAGAGCAGTCCCTGGACATCCCAGGGTGCCAGTGTCCCTGTGGATTAGTAAGGAAATAAACACCCACATAATCCGCACTAAAGAAAAGAGATGCACTCGGTCGATCTGGCTTCCAGTGGGAAACTGGTCTGAGAAATAAAGGCCCACAAGACAGAATGCATGGTGGCAGTAGCTGTAACTGGGACTGATTTTGGTTAAATTGTTTCAGCAAAATAAAAAGTGATTGCTTTTAAAACTACTTTAGGGGCCAGTGTTGTAGGACAGTGGATAAAGCCGCTGCTTGCGATACCGGCATCCCATGTGGGTGCTGGTTCGTGTCCTGGCTGCTCCACTTCCAATCCAGCTCCCTGCTATGGCCTGGGAAAGCAGTGGAAGATGACCCAAGATTTTGGGCCCCTGACACACTCCTGAGAGACCTGGAAGAAGCTCCTGGCTCTTGGCTTCGGCCTGGCCCAGCCCTGGCTGTTGTAGCCATCTGGGGAGTGAACCAGCGGATGGGAGATTTTCTCTCTCTCTCTCTCTGTAACTATGACTCTCAAATAAATAAGTAAGTCTTTTTAAAAGTAAAATAAAACCACTTAAAACTGGTTGAGGAATTAAGTTGGCTTTTCCATGAAGTGGTAGAGTAAGCATAGATGCGTATTGAATGTATACTGTATGTGTGTGCATATTGGGTCTTCCTGGGGACATCTCTCACGCAGACCCTGCCCTATGTCCTGGGCCATCGCCCGTTCCCAGGCCAGGCTCCGGGCCCAGGTCTCTGCTCGGGGAACCGGGGCAGCAGGGGCTCACGGATGGGCAGCTTCCCCAGCAGGCTGTGTGCTGGCTCTGGACTTGACGTGCAGAGGTCGCAAGTTCCTGGTGAGTCCTGGCGCCTGCTGGGGGTCCTGCGTGGATGAAGTCAGTGGCGGCAGGGGTGGCAGGGACGGTGGCCTGGCCGGCATCACTGGGCGAGAGCCTGAAGTGGCTGAGCTGACACCGGGGTGGGGGCCGGGGGCTGGGGAGGGCAGAAGAAATCCGTGGTATGTCCCAAGAACAACTGTGAGAATTGCTGGTCTGCCAGGGACCCCCCCCACCAGGGAGTAAAGAAGCCCAAGAGTGCACTGACCTGGTCCCAGGCAGCCTGCACTTCGGGGGGTGGGGGAGCAGACCCAGGTGAAGTCACAACTGCCGTGGGCCAGAAACGGGAGCCAAGTGGGACACGGCATCTCGGGTCTGGGCTGAGGTCCCAGCTTACCAGCTCTTCTGACCTTGGGTCGCAGCTCCCTTCTCTTTGAAATGGGTCAGCAGTACCTAACTCCTCCCGTGGCTCCAATGAGGCAAGAAGGGAGAGCTCTGAAACTGTGACGTGCCCCCAGCTGCCCAGAACGTGGCCATTCAAATCCAGGCTGCTCAGCTCATGCGCTCAGCGACCCAGCCTGGTTCAAGGGGCCCCAGCCAAGAGGCCCAGGGCAGGAGCAGGCTGCCTGGTCCCACCTCCTGTAGACACCTGGGGACCAACGCCTGGCCTGGGGCCATGAAGCTCCCCCGAAGCCTGGGCAGCCGCAGGCCCCCTGGGCCCACTTCCCTGGGCAGATACAGGGGGAGGGGGCCCCTCGCGGGTCTCCCTGGATCTAGTACAGGTGGGCAGGTGCCTGCTGGGCTGCAGCAGAGCAGCTGAGAAGTGGATGTGGTAGAAAAAGCACCCAGGCTGGTGGCAAGAGGCAGGCTGGGAGTAGGAGAGACCAGAGGACGTGCCAGAATCCCAGGTGGGCCAGGGAGGGAGGGGCAAGCACTCACAGGGGTGGGTGGCACCAAATAAGGCACTGGCGCGCACTCGGTCTTGCAGGTTCCGAGGCGGGGGACCCGGAACTCTCACAGCTTAGTAAAGAAGAAAATGGGAAGAGACAGGGAACGGGTGAAGGCCCTACCAGGGTCCTGCCCTGTGGGCCCTGCATAGGGACCAGCCTAATCCAGGCCCATCACCCCCATTACTCACGGGACAATGTTCCTCCTTACAGCCCCCCACCCTTCCAAGCTTAAGGCTATAAAAGAAGTTCTTAAAAGTAATTCCAGTGGCTGCACTTTGGTACATGGGTTAAACCCCTGCCTGTAGCACTGGCATCCCATATATTGGAGTCTTGGCTGCTCCATTTCTGATCCAGCTCCCTGCTGATGTGCCTGGGAGAGCAGCAGTAGATGGCCCAAAGGCTTGGCCCCCTGCTGCCCACATGAGGGACCCAGACAAAGCCCCTGGCTCCTGGCTTCAGCCTGTCTCAGCCCAGGCTCATGCGGCCATGTGGCAAGTAAACCAGCAGATAAAGACCCCTCTCTCTCTGTCTTTCCCTCTGTCTCAAATACATTTACTTGAAAGGCAGAATCACAAAGAGAGAACGGGAGTTAGAGAGAGATCTTCCAGGTCTCCCATGTGGCTGCAGGGGCCCAAGCACTTGGGCCTTCTTCCACTATTTTCCCAGGCCATAAGCAGGGAGCTGGATTGCAAATGGAGCAGCCGGGACTCGAATCTGCACCCATTTGGGATGCGGGCATTGCAGGCAGCAGCTTTACCCAATATGTCACAATGCCAGCTCCTAAATAAATCTTGAATTAAAAAAAATAGCAATTCCAGGCCAGAGAGAAGAGTGACGTCGTAGCAAGTGCAGAGGCACAGGTGAGAGGCTGGCAGGACTATTTAGGGCTCGGCTGTCTGGCAGGTCTTTAGCCATTCCACATAGCCCCCCGCCCCATATCTGTTTTTTGGAGGTAAAATCCATGTAACATACAATTAGACTGCACAATTCACGGCCCTAGCACCTCACAACATTGAACACCACTGCCTCTATCCAGCTCCGGTACATGTCCATGGCCCTAGGAGAGCCTCGCCCCCTGAGGCTACCACTGTCCACCAGCCCATCTCCCACCCCAGCCCCCAGACCTGCCTCCTCTGGACACTTCACAGAAATGGACTCAACATGTGACTTTGGGGCCTGGCTCCACTTGAGACTTGAACCTGAACTTCCCTTCTCCCTGTCCAGCAAGCCGAGACACAAGGCCACCACGTGATCCCCGAATCCTGGGAACACCTTTCTGTACAGGGCAAACGCAGCTACTGAAACGGGCGGAGTATCCCAGCTTATGCCGGTGGGTCCTCCGGGGGTCAGAGTCTGAGAAGCTGTGGCGAGGGCCGGGCAGCTCACTGCACGTGGGAATGGGGCTGCCACGAGGAGCAGGCGAGTGGGCAGCCAGACACGCCCACACCCTGCCTTCAGCCTGACCCCCGGGGCCATCGATGGTGGTGCTGGAGCCATTACAGCAGCCACGGCTAAGTCACTCAGGGGTCCTGGGGGGAGCGGCCTGTCCTGAGGTGCATTTTTGGACATTTCCCTCAGAGCTGGGGGGTGGGGCTCGGCAGCTGGCCAGAGCCTCCTTCTTCCCCCTGCCCCTCTGGCCCGCTGGAGGACTCTCTGTGGCCACCTCCTCCTGCCTGCGTCCCATCTGACTTGGCCTTTCTTCCACGGGACTGCCCGCTGACTGCCAGCCCTCAGGGAAGGAGGGGGGATGGGAGCTGCACTTCCCACCAGGGATAGCCCAGCTGCCGCGCTGGCATCCGGAGGCCAGGTGAAGAGTGGAAGCACGGCGGGCACAGTGGCTGGCTTCAGGTCGAGTTCCTGAGTCTGTTTGTTTGGAATTAGGGTGCCTTAGGGGTACATGAGCTGTATTGGCAAAGATGGAAAGATCCGGCAGCAGACAGGTTTCCCACTGATTCCAGTACTAGCTGGACTCGGTCGCACCCAGCAAGATGGAACAGTTGAGGCTATCATGACTCCAGTCTCGTTTGCTCCATGTTCTTGGGAATGCACGAATGACCTAGGCTGCCAGCAGGGGAGGCTGGTGGGCGAGTGGGGAGGGGACAGGTGTGTAAGGTGATAGACTCCATTGGCTCTGGCCCCGAGAGTGCCCTCCCAGCCAGGAGACCTCACCTGCCCACTGTGAAATGCCACTGCAGGGTGAGGGGACAGGGCAGGGCCCGGCACAAAGTCAGGGCTCATTAACCATTAGCCCGTGTTGTTGTCATCCTGCCTGGTGATCCCTGGAGCCCAGCTGAGCCTCTCCTCTGCCCCCAGATCCACTGCAGGCCCGCAGCAGCCACGGTCTGGGCAGGAGGAGTCACTTCCTTGAATTGGGAGGATGCAGGGTTTCAGGAAACACAGGAGGGGTCTGGAGTGGGTTGAATGGGAATTGCCCAGAGAACACATCTCTCAGAGCCCGGCTGTGGCCTCATTCACAGTCAGGATCTTACAGGTGTAGTTAATAATCCTGAGATGAGATTTTCCTCGGTCAGGCTGAGCCCTAAATCCAAGGACCAGTGTCCTTTGAGAGACAGAGGAGAAGGCGCATGGAGGAGGCAGCCAGCTGGGGGCAGAGGCTGGAGCAGCACAGCCACGAGCCCAGAACACCAGCAGCCGGCAGGGGCAAGGACTGTTCCAGAGACACTGGTGGGAGCACGGGCCTGCGGACACACTGATTGGAGACTCAGAGCCCCCAGACATGAGAGAGAAGAAACTTCTCACTACCCAGGCCGACGGTCTGCAGTGACAGCCAGCACAGGTGCGTCCTCTGTCCAGCACAGCTGATGAGCGGGCTCCTCTGCCTTCTCACCAGGCCAGCCTGGCATTTCCAGAGGCTGCAGCCCCACCCTCTGGCCACCTCGGACCCCAGCATGGCTCCCAAATGGGACAGTGTGCAGCTCCTACCCAGGGGCAAACCACAGAACTCCTCTTTCCAGACAGGAAAGGAACTCGAGGGCCATGCAGAGATTTCCCTTTGCGTACTGGGAACCCAGGAGAGGAAGCCAGCTGGAGCGGGGACCCCAAAACTGGAGCAACCAACAAGGAAGGACTCCAGATAAGCATGTGTCAGGGCCTCCTGCTGGCTCACATTAGGACACAGACCTCCAGTCTGCCCTGTCCGCGTCTCCTCACTCCTGCCCCAGCCAGGCCCTGCACTCCTAGCAGACCTGTGCGTGGCTTCTGCTCACCACAAGCGTTTGCACCTGCTGCGCCCTCTACCTGGCTCACTCTCCTCCCACCTCACCCCTTCATCCCCCAAACTTCTTTTCCTTCTCCAAAGGCTTCGGGGAGCTCCTCACCCCTCCTCTAATACAGCACCCCTTGTACAGCTCTCCTGTCACCAACCAGGCCCCGGCCCCAGGCCCGCATCCTGAATGCCAGGCGAGGCCGGCTGTCGGTCCCTGTTTATCCCTGTGGGAAGGATGAGCCTTGCCCGGCGGGTGTTTGCTTACAGCCGGCACTCTCCCCTCCGGCACCTCTTTGGCTCCCGACTGGTCAGAGGCAGCGCCTGCCCTTGAAATCCCCCTGTGCCCTTTGCCCTGCCCTGTGGAACAGCACCCCAGTGCAGGGCGCCCAGGAGGGTCCGACTCCTCACCTGTCAGCTCCTTCTCCACGGTGGCTGTGGCCTGAGCCCCACTCTGGTTGCTCATCCGGCCTCTGTAGAGGATCCCGTCCACTCCCAAGATGTCTACCTCAGCCTGTTGGATGGCCAAGGCCCCCGGTCAGTGAACCCTTCCTGCCCCACCTCCTCTCCAGTGCACAGAAAAGTGCAGAAGACAGGGTGCGGTCTCCCCAGGACTCTCTGCCCGGGTCCTGGTCCCACACGTGGGGCTGGGGCACGTGGACAATTCACCCTCCAGGGAAGAGCACCCACTACTCACGGAGTCATAGTCCACTAGCTGGGGGTCCCCATAAGGGTAGAGGGTGGACAGGTCACATGACTGGAGCCTGCTGGTGGCATCATTTTGGGGGCCGTCACCCCAGTCCTGCTGGGAGCCCAGGGGGTCCAGACCCTCCTCCTGGAGCTGCAGCTGCTGCTGTTCCCTGCGGCAGGGCAGTGGGTCAGTGGCCACCCAGGGACTCCACAATCCCACAGAGCCCCCGACAGGCCTGGCCAGTATGGAGGCAAGACTGACATTGCTTCCAGCTTGGGTGTAGGTGGCACAGCCAACAGGCCTGGGATGTGGTGGGTGGACACACACACAACACCAATGGGGCAGACAAATGAAGCCAAGGGCCACATTCCTGGAGTCTCTGCCTGGAGTCAGGTGAGGGAGGGAGGGGGTCGCACAGGCTTGGGCCCCGCCCCCCAGCTTTGGCTGCTGTCAGACTGTTCCTCCCCCACCTGGCCACAGCTCGCACAGGGCTCGCTGCTGGAAGGACCACTGGAGCCGTGGGATGTCACGGCCTATGCCCACCACTGGGAAAGGGGCAGATGGACCCAGTGTGTGAGGCGTGGTGATATTTAAGTAACTCTCACACGTGGGATCACCTCACTGTTCGTGCTATGGCCTGTCACCACCGCTATGTCTTGGGCCTCTCCTTTGCACAGGGAGTCTGGCTCCTGGCACTGGTGGGTCTCTGCCCAAACAGTGATCCCACAGCCTTCAGGGGGAGGGATGGTGGGTCCTCTATCCACACACCTCATCAGCTGCCGCTGCAGGTACTCGTAGCTGTTGGCACTGGCCGGCCTGAGCCGCGCCAGCAGGTGAACCTTACGGAGTGTGATCAGAGGCCTGTTGGAGGACAAGAACACAGACAGGGCTGTCACCTGCGGCCTGCAGAGGGCTCCAGGCCCACACCTCCTCCAGGAAGCTTTCCTAGCGGAAAGGAGGTGTAGATGGGTCTGCTCACCCTCAAACACAGCTTTTTCTCCAGGAACATCTGAGGGCCACAGTGTGAGGGCTTTGAGGGGCCCAGGTAATCATTGTAAGACACAAAAAACCAACTGTGCCATTATAAAAGGAAAAACCGTAACAGGCAAAGCCCAGGAGCAGACGCAGACTGGAGGGTTGAGGGGAGGCAGGTGGGGGCGAGACTGCTGGTTTTCCTCTGGGAGGATGAAAAGGCCATGGTGCTCACGGAGCTGTGCATGTGCCAGATGCCACAGAACCGCCCGCTTCGAAATGGTGAACTTTACATCCTGCGGGCCCTGCCTCTCTAGAGAACGAAAGACGAGGTCAGCTATTAACAGCCTTCCGGGAAAGCTGCTGGAGCTGGGGCTGTGCAAGTGCGTCCAGATGTCAAGATTCCCCTCTCTTCTAGCAGCCGGCCAGGCACATGACTGTGTGCAGCAGCCCGAATAAACCAATACACGCTGATCATCTGCTTAGAGCCAATGCACACGGAGGGTCTGCTTAGAGCCAATACACACGGAGGGTCTGCTTAGAGCCAATGCACACGGAGGGTCTGCTTAGAGCCAATGCACACGGAGGGTCTGCTTAGAGTCAATGCACAAGGAGGGTCTGCTTAGAGCCAGTGCACACGGAGGGTCTGCTTACAGCCAATGCACACGGAGGGTCTGCTTAGAGCCAATGCACACGGAGGGTCTGCTTACAGCCAATGCACATGGAGGGTCTGCTTACAGCCAGTACACACGGAGGGTCTGCTTACAGCCAATGCACACGGAGGGTCTGCTTAGAGCCAATGCACACGGAGGGTCTGCTTAGAACCAATACACACGGAGGGTCTGCTTAGAACCAATACACACGGAGGGTCTGCTTAGAGCCAATGCACACGGAGGGTCTGCTTAGAGCCAATACACAGTGATTGTCGGCTTAGAGCCAATACACACTGGTGGTCTTCTTAGAACCAATCCATACTGGTGGTCTTCTTAGAACCAATCCATACTGGTGGTCTTCTTAGAACCAATCCACACGGAGAGTCTGCTTAGAGCCAATACACACTGATCGTCGGCTTAGAGCCAATACACACTGATTGTCTGCTTAGAACGCATAGAGAAGCACACACAAAAACCACTGTTACCGTGTGACAAAGATTCTGACATGCACCCTTGTGGTGTTTCTCCATGTTCACATAAATTTTATTATTTATTTCATTTCGTTTTATTTTATTTTATGACAGTGTTAGACAGTGAGAGAGAGACAGAGGGAAAGGTCTTCCTTCCATTGGTTCACTCCCCAAACAGCCGCTATGGCCAGAGCTACGCCGATCCAAAGCCAGGAGCCAGGTGCCTCCTCCTGCTCTCACATGCAGGTGCAGGGGCCCAAGCACTTGGGCCATCCTCCACTGCCTTCCCAGGCCACAGCAGAGAGCTGGACTGGAAGAGGGGCAACCAGGACTAGTACCCAGCACCCATATGGGATGCCGGCGCCGCAGGCAGAAGATTAACCCAGTGAGCTTTGGTGCCGGCCCTGTTTACGTAATTTTTAAAACAAAAGCAGGATCACTGTACACACACCACTTGATACTGTCATTTCATTTACTGGAAACATTTTTCCAGGTCATTAAATATTCTTCCACAATTGCTACCCAATGCAGCAGCCACTAGCCACATAGAGCTATTTAAATTTACACGGAGATGAACTAAATTTCAATAAAACCTAAAAGTCAGTTGCCCACTCGCGTGCACCATGTTCCAAGTGCTTAGAAGCCACATGGCTCCAGGGGTTCATGCCCGGGACAGCACAGCTACGGACAGCTCCACATCACACATACTACTGCATGGGACTCTTCTTACAAACGTGGTGGATGCCGGCCGGAATGAAAAGTCAGTGAGTCACCACTTCAAGCTATGTCCAATTGCTTTTACTCTTATCAGTAACGTTGCAAGCTGGGTATCTCTGATGTGACAGAAAATGCTGGTGTGACCTCCAAAGCCCCTCCAAACATGAGCTGGCAGGGGGCGGGGAAGCTTACTGGGTCACCACAGTAGGCCAGCATCACAGGGGCCCCACGAGGTCCTGCTGCTCAGAACAAATCACTGTTCCCCGTTCCTCAAAAAGTAAACCGCCAAGTTCCCACATGAGCCAACGCTTCTACTCTCAAGTTTATCCCAAAAGAACTGGCAATAGGAATTCAAACAAACCCACGTAAACAAACCTCGTGAGAGCATTACTCAGACAGCCAGAGTGGCAGTAACCAAGTGTTCACCAGCACAAGAAAGGGCAGGTGCAGTGTGGGGGCCTGTGCAGTGGAATACCACACAGCCAGGGAGAGCAGCCACGGGGGCACTGTGCGAGGGAGAGAGGCCACGCACCACACACGCCCACTCTAGGAATACTACACAGCCAGGGAGAGCAGCCACGGGGGCACTGTGGGAGGGAGAGAGGCCACGCACCACACACATCCACTCTAGGATCAGCTGCAAGGGGCAGATCTACAGGGACGATGGACAGCAAGTCCGCGTGGGGAGTGAGCACTGGGGGAGCTGGGTTTCCTGCTCGGGGACCAAGCAGAGTTGGAGACCGCGCAGAGGCAGCAGTGGTTCGACACTGTGGATGTGCTAAGTGTGCTGAGTGGCCCACTTTACAGTGGTTCAAAAAATAAGATCTCTTATAGATTTATAAGAATAAACGCACAGGGGAGGGTGGCGATGTGGCGTAGCGGGTAAAGCCGTCACCTGAGATGCCAACATCCCACATGGGTGCCTGTTGGAGTCCTGGCTGCTCCACTTCCAATCCAGCTAATGGCCTGGGCAAAGCAGTGGAAGATGACCCAAGTAGATAGTTCTCTGCCCCATGTGGGAGACATGGATGAAGCTCCTGGCTCCTGGCTTCAGCCTGACACAGACAGCACTAGTCGATGTGGCCATCTGGGGGACAGATCAGACGGGAGAGCTCTCCCTCTCCCTCTCTTTCTCTGTATCGCCTTCTTTTTCTCTGTAACTCTAACTTTTAAAATAAATAAATGTGTAAAAATGTGAAAATAAATGCAGGGTTGGCCAGCATTGTGGCATGGTGGGTAAAGCTGCCACCTGCAGTGTCAGCATTCTCTAAGGGCGCGGGTTTGCGCCATGGCTGCTCCACTTCCGATCTAGCTCCTTCCTAATGGCATAGGAAAAGCAGCGGAGAACGGCCCAAGTGTCTGGACCCCTGCAACCCATGTGGGAGACCTAGAAAAAGCTCCTGGCTCCTGGCTTTGAATGGCCCAGTCCTGGGCATTGTAGCTGTCTGGGGAGTGAACCAGCAGAGGGAAGATTCTGTCTGTCTCTCCTTCTCACTAACGCTTTCAAACAAATAAATAAATCTTCAAAATTAAGGCAGGAAAGTATAACAAAGTCCTGCTTTTCTTTTCTTTTTTTTCCCTCTGTGTGTGTGTGTACATTATTTGAGAAGCAGACAGAGGAGACAGTAAGAGAGAGAGAGAGAGTGAGAGAGCGAGTGAGTGAGTGCACTCCCATCCACTGTTCACTTCACTCAGGGCCAGTCTGAACAGTCTGAAGCTGGGAGCTGAGATCTCAATGTGGTCTCACATGTGGGGGGCAGGGACCCAAGTATTTGAGCAGTCCCCTGCTGACTCTCACAGTACGCATTAGCAGGAAGCTGGAACTGGAAGTGGAGCTGGGACAAAGACCCAAATGGGGCATCCCAACCCACGGCTTACCCATTATGCAAAAACCTGCCCCTCGAAATTCTGCTTTTCCCCACACTGATTCTTTTTTTTTTTTTTTTTTTTTAGTTCGATCCAGTGTCTTTCCTTGAAGGAAAGGAGGACAAAGCCCCCTACCCAAGCAATCAGAGGTGGGATGGGCAGAAAGGACATGTGTACAGACGACATACACAGGGCAGACATGAGGTCTGCAGAACGACCTGTGTGGCCGTGTACACACGTGAGTACAGACGTGATGTGTTTGCTCTCTGCCTGCTTTTTAGAACGCAGGAAGCACGGCCTGGCTGGGGCAGTTGTGGGTGGATCCCGCGGAGGAGGCAGCAGGCGCCCCCTGGCGGCAGTACTCACGGACTGGTCATCATCTCCACAGGCCGGTCGCAGGAAATGCATTTCACCCGCTCAAACAGTTTCCTGAAAGACATCAGCGCCATCAGGCGGGTCCCTGCCCGAGAGCCCGTCCCCGGCCCTTGGTCCAGGGGGTTTGGGAGAGTGGCTGCAGGTCAGCCCGTGCCTTAGGGCCAGGACTTCCCCACGGCCAGGCCCACGCAGCCCTGCAGGCCCCTGCTGGCCCTGTGTGTGGCCTCCTGGGCAGAGAGGGCATTCTGCTGCCCCAACACACTGGATGGTCTCCACCCTGCCCCTAAGTACTGGGGGCATGTGAAGGGGAAGCCGAGGACAGGAGTCCAGATCTGGGTCCATACGCTTGAGGTGCTGTCTGGGTGGGAGTCAGGGAACCTGGTTTGGGCCTCCATGGTCCTGCATGTCCCCTTCCCCATCTGAGCTCTGTCTGCCCGTTCTGCACCCTGGCCGCAGGTCAGGAATCGTGCCCCACGTTCTCCAGGCTCTTCCTCTGCGGGCCCCACAGCCTCAGCAGCTGCACCCAGAACCAGGAGGGGGCTCCAGGGCCCTGCCCTCACTTCCTGAAGCCGGCAGCGCTGTCTGGGTCAAATCGGAGACCCTCGGTCAGCAGCTTCGCGACGACTGTCCGTATCTCTTCCATTTCTTTCTTCAGAGGGCCCAGGTCACTGTGGACGAGCTGCCAACAGCCAACAGGAAGAAAAGAGCGCCCGGTCAACTACTCCACACCCTGCCAACTCGCAGAAAAGGACTGTAGCAACCCAAGAAGCCTCACGGGGCATGACAAGGTGAGACGAAGATCGTGAGGTCATCCAGGAAAGGCAAAATGATAGGGCTTGGGTTTGGGTCCACGCCCCCAGAAGATGCTGCTGGCAGAGGGGAGCTGCAAAGTGAGCTTCCCAGCAGGCAAGGCAAAAATAAAACACAGAACACCACCTCCTGCTGTTGCCACACCCGCCTCTCAGCTGCAGCCTGCAGGCCCGGGAAACCTTTCCCCAGCGTTCCCCAGGCACCTCACAGTCACACGCAACAGAGGGCCTGCACGTAAAGCAGACAACTCAGTGACATTGTTAGCATATGCAGTGTTGTGTAACCGTCACTCCCTAGAGAAGCTGTGTGCCCTCTACCAGATACACCCATTTGTCTGCTCATAACCCCCAGCCCTAGGCAGCCACTAACCTACTTTCTGCCTCCGTGGAGTAGTCTATTCTGGACGTTTCCTATAAATAGAATCATACACAATGTGTTCTTGGTGTGTGGCCTCTTTCACTTAGCAGATTTTCGGGCTGACTCGTGCTGTAGCGTGAGTCAGGGTTTGTGCTACTTCTTACGCAGCATGGACTATGACAGAACACTACCCCATCAATGGCTGCACCACGTTTGGCTGGATGAACCCTTTGAGTAATCTGCTATGAGCACTGATGTGCAAGTTTTTGTGTGGACGTATCTTCATTTTTCTGGGTATAAGGAACGAAGTTCTGATTCATGCTGCAACGTGGATGATCTGCAGACATTATGTTACAGAAAAGAGGCCAAACACAGAAGTTCATACACTGCATCTTTCCATCTGTATGCAATGTCCCAAATAGGTAGGTCCTTTGAGACAGAAACTAGATCAGTGGTGCAGAGGCTGCTGGGGTCAGGGAGGAGCAGGGAGTGACCAATAATGAGCGCTGGGTTTCCTTTGGGGTAATGAAAATGGCTTAGAGGGCCACGTGGGAGACCTGGATGGAGTTCTGAGCTCCTGGCCTTGGTCTGGCCCACCCTTGGCTGTTGTGGAGTGAACCAGCGGATGAAAGATCTCTCTATGTCTGTCTCTCTCTCAGCCTTTCAAATAAAATGAAAATAAATAAATAGAAAGGACTGTCATCTAAAAATCATAGTGTCATATAAAAATTATAGGGGCCAGTGTCATGGCATAGTAAGTTAAGCCTCTGCTTGCAGCACCTGCATCCTGTGGGCACCAGTTCGTCCTGGCTGCTCCTCTTCTGATCCAGCTCTCTGCTTACAGCCTGGGAAAGCAGTCGAACATGGTCCAACTGCTTGGGCCCCTGAACCCACGTGGGAGATCCAGAAGAAGCTCCTGGCTCCTGGCTTTGGATCAGCTCAGCTCTGGCCACTGTGCTCATTTAGGGAGTGAACCAGCAGATGGAAGACCTCTCTCTCTCTCTCTCTCTCTCTCTCTGTAACACTGCCTCTCAAATAAATAAAACCTTTATAAAAAATTATAGGGAAGAAAAAAATGATAGTGGTGCCAGAGGCTGCCGGGGTTGGGAAGGAGCAGGGAGTGACCGTAACGAATGCTGGGTTTCCTTTGGGGTGATGAAATCGCTTAGAAGGCAGCACTGTGGTGTGTGATTTATGATCATTATATTTATAATATATACATGCCATCTAGAGTTAACAATTAACACCCTCAGGTATTTGGTTTATTCTGATTATTTTTCAAATTATGGAAAGCATGCCATTTCACTACTAACTACTTCAGTAATTCTCTCTAACAGATGAAGCTGTTTCCTTACAGAACCAGTCATTACCACACTTGATATGATCGACCGCCTGCTTTGCATCTCATCCTAGCCCATTCTTAGAGTCTGTGCAACAGAACCAAGAAACGAGGAACATCTCATTACTGCATCTGGTTGTTTTGTCTCCTGAAGACTCTTTTTAAAATGCTTGCCAATTTACTGAGAGACAGGGAACTTGAGCTCTTAGACACTGGTTCACTCCCCAGACGCCCACAGCACTGAAGGCTGGGCCGCCCAAAGCGAGGAGCCCAGAACTGGAACCATCACTGCAGCCTCCCGTGGTCCGCAGCAGCAGGAAATTTTAGTCAGGAGCCAGAATCAGGGGCCGCACTGTGCACAGCGGGCTGGGCATCGCAGTCAGGAGCCAGAATCAGGGGCCGCCTGTGCACAGCGGGCTGGGCTGCTGCTCGGGATGCTGGCATCCTGTATCGGAGCTCCACTGGACGTCCTGACAGCTCCACCTGCAATCCGGCTCCCTAATGATGGCCCAGTATTTGGGCCCCTGCCACCGATTTGGGAGACCCACACAGAGTTCCTGGCTCCTAGTTAGGGCTGGCCTAGCCCTGGCTGCTGTGGCCATTTGGGGAGTGAACCAGCAGATGGGTCTCTCTCTGTTCCCTCTCTGTTGCTCTTTTTTTTTTTTTTTTTAAGATTTATTTATTTATTTGAAAGTCACAGTTATTTGAAAGTCACAGAGAGAGAAGGAGAGGCAGAGAGAGAGAGACAGGTCTTCCATCTGCTGGTTCACTCCCCACTTGGCCGCAATGGCTGGAGCTGGGCTGATCCAAAGCCAGGAGCCTCCTCTGGGTCTCCCGAGTGGGTGCAGGGGCCCAAGGACTTATCCTCTACTGCTTTCCCAGGCCATAGGAGAGAGCTGGATCAGAAGTGGAGCAGCTGGGACTTGTGCCCATATGGGATGGCAGCACTGCAGGCAGCGGTTTTACTTGCTATGCTACAGTGCAGGCCCTTCTGTTGCTCTTTCAAATAAATTTAAAAAATTAAATATTTTATTTATTTATTTGAAAGGAAGAGTTCAGAGAAAGGGGGAGAGAGAGAGAGAGAGAGGGAGAGGGAGAGAGAGAGAGAGAGAGAGAGAGAGAGAGATCTTCCTTCCACTGATTCAGTTCCCAATGGCCATGACAGCTGGGGCTGGGCCTGGGCTAGGCTGAGGCCAGGAGCCTGGAATTCAATCCAGGTTTAAACTCTTGTGGGTGGCAGAGGCCACAGTACTTGAGCCATCTTCCTGACTTCCCAGGTGCATTAGCAGGGACACAGAACTGAAATGGAGCACTCTGGACTATAACCAGTGCTCTAAAAGAATGTGGTTTAATCTGTTTAGCCGCAATGCCAGCCCCAGTAAATAAAATCTTTTTGTTAAAAAAAAAAGAGAGAGCGAGCGAGCCAGATCGAACACTGAATGCAGGCACTCTAAGAGGAGATATGGTGTCTTATCCATCATCTCAACTATAGCATAAACAGGTATCCCTTTGAATGTACGACAATCTCTCTCTCCACTCCCTGCCCCCACCACTGAGTCAGTTTTCTGTGGAATGCCACTCAGCTGTGATTTTGCACATCTGGTTTGCACACCTGCACACGTTCTGCACATTTGCACCAATATTTTATATCTCTCTGACAAGCGTGTCTCCACGAAGATTGCACCTACAATCTGTTTCGCTCACTCTATCCACGGGGACTAGACCTCTTGGTATCAAATAATTGAGAGATGAATAAATCCCCGTTTCTCAGATGAGAAATTTCTCAGGGCATGCTGCTGCTCATGGTGCAGCTAAGGCGGGAACCCAGGCCCTTCTGGCTGCACCTCCTATGCCAGCTCCAAGAGCGTGCAGCACTGGCAAGTGCTGGTCTGCCCGCCCCTGCCCCTTCTGCTGGACGAGCTGGGCAGGGGCTGTGCGTCCCCTGCCACCTCCCCACGGCCTGGCACATCTCAGGCAGTCAGCAAACAGTGAGGCTGACCATGTGGGAGTCTCCAGGCCACCCAGCTAAGCTGCTCCCGAACGCTTGCTCCTCAAAACGGAGCGTTTGTTCTTGGCCACCGCTGCGTTGTGGGACAGCTGGTCAGGAGTGCATGCTCACGGGCTCCGAGTTCTCTCTCACCTTGGTGGCCAGGAGTGCGTGCTCGCGGGCTCCGAGTTCTCACCTTGGTGGCCAGGAGTGCGTGCTCGCGGGCTCCGAGTTCTCACCTTGGTGGCCAGGAGTGCGTGCTCGCGGGCTCCGAGCTCTCTCTCACCTTGGTGGCCACGAGTGCGTGCTCGCGGGCTCCGAGCTCTCACCTTGGTGGCCAGGAGTGCGGGCACGAGCTCCGAGCTCTCACCTTGGTGGCCAGGAGTGCGTGCTCGCGGGCTCCGAGCTCTCTCTCACCTTGGTGGCCAGGAGTGCGTGCACGAGCTCCGAGCTCTCACCTTGGTGGCCAGGAGTGCGTGCACGAGCTCCGAGCTCTCACCTTGGTGGCCAGGAGTGCGTGCTCGCGGGCTCCGAGCTCTCTCTCACCTTGGTGGCCAGGAGTGCGTGCTCGCGGGCTCCGAGCTCTCTCTCACCTTGGTGGCCAGGAGTGCGTGCTCACGGGCTCCGAGTTCTCTCTCACCTTGGTGGCCACGAGTGCGTGCTCTCGGGCTCCAAGCTCTCACCTTGGTGGCCAGGAGTGCGTGCACGAGCTCCGAGCTCTCACCTTGGTGGCCAGGAGTGCGTGCTCGTGGGCTCCGAGCTCTCACCTTGGTGGCCAGGAGTGCGTGCTCGCGGGCTCCGAGTTCTCTCTCACCTTGGTGGCCAGGAGTGCGTGCACGAGCTCCGAGCTCTCACCTTGGTGGCCAGGAGTGCGTGCACGGGCTCCGAGCTCTCACCTTGGTGGCCAGCTCCTTCCTGAGCTGCTCCGCAGACTTCTTCCAGTCTTCCTCCTGACTCACAGCCTTGAGAAGCACGCCCTGGACCACCTCGTTCAGCTCCGTCACCACCGTCTCCAGGTCAAGCCTGCTGGCCTTGCTAGCCAGGGCGCTCCTGTCAGCTTTCTGGGGAACAGGGGAAGGGAGAAGCTGGGAGACCACAGGCCCTTTGGCCAGCTCTTCCTAGTTCTGGACCCTGGAAACCCCAGGGTCTACTCAGACACCGCCGTGACATCTAAGCCAAGGTCTCCCTGTAACAGAAATTGCTGCGTGACTCTAAGTGCACAGGGTGTCACTAATTCTGAGTCACTGCACACAGCAGTCGATGGGACACGGAGAGGCTTCCCCAGCCTTTAACTGGAATAGAGGTGAAGTGAAATCCCAGCAGGCTCTCACCTGCCTCTGCCTGGAGTGAGAGAGCCTGGCTCGGGGAGGGCGGGGGAGAGAAAGGACCCTCTGCCCACTCACCTCCTTCAGCTCCTGCTCCAGGGTGCTTTTATTCACCTTGTTCTTGTCCAGCATTCTGATTTGAGCCTGGAGAGTCTGAGCACACAAACACAGGCACATCAGCCACCCTCAGAAGCCTCCAGGAGATTGTCTACTTCCTGTTTCCACCCTTGCCATGCACAGGAAGGGATGAAGGGGCCAGAGGGACGGCAGGCAGGTGGGAGTCGTAGAAGGTTTGGGCTCAAGAAGAAGGGATGGAGCTGGGACTTGGAACAGGTCCTCCTCTGGCAGGTGGGATCACAGGAACCTTCCTGCCCAGGGGAGGAAGGCACAGACCAACACGGACAGTGGGGCCTCCCAGGTGCATAAGGCAAGCTCACCTCTTCATATCTCAATGATGTCCCACTGAGAATCCAGCCACACGCACTGTGTGGAGACTCATCTCCCCTGCCCGTGTCTCCACCCAGATCAACCCTTCCCATTGCCTCTGCAGTCTCCCAACACCCCAGCCATCCCCCGAATGCCCCCCTAGAGGGTGGGGTCACTTTTCCATCAAAGCTGGGGACAAGCTTTTACTTCTCCCTTTATCTGGCTTCCTTCTCGCTCTTAGGAACAGAACTCCCACTTTCACATCAGTGTCCTTCACCAGCCACTTCTGACTAGCAGAGTGTAAACGGAAGTGAGTGGGTACCCCTAAGCTTCTTCATCTTCCTTCCTCTTTGCTGCTGGCGTGAATACAGTTAACGACTACAGTGCCTGCAGCCATCTTGGACTATGAGGTGACCTGGTGAGTGGAAGTCAGAGAGTAGGACAAGAAACACAGCCCAAGTCCCCAACACTGGAGCACTCGCCCAGCGTTGGGCCAACCATCTGAATTTCTGCAGTGTTACACAGAATTACAAGTACACCTTGGGTAGGTTATTTGTTACTTGAGGGGCTTATATGGCCTGAAGTTCATCCTAATTCTAGTTAATGCAATGCTCCACCACATGCACGTTGTCCCACAGCAGGTTCCAAGGCCTAGAATGGGAGGAGAGGCTGCCTTGGCTTCATGTCCAGCTGCTTCCTCCAGCGCGATGCTGGCGTTCTGGTGTGTATCAGCCCCGGTATGAATCCCTAGACCCCTGCCTGACTCTGTACGTATTCACAACTATTACAGTTAAGATCTAGAAACAGAGAGCTTAACTTCCTAACTTCTGCAGCCACGTCACGTGTGTCCTTGGGTAAACAGCGGATCTCCCAAAGTTCACATGCACCCAGAACCCGTGAACACGGCCTTACTTGAACGGGGGTCTTTGCAGATTTAATGAATTAGTATGAGGTCACGTAGGTGAGGGAAAGCTCCGAGTCCGATGACTGAGGTCCCTCTAAGAAGGCTCTGTGGGAGGCGGTGTCTGGCACGGTGGGTAAGCCACTGCTTTGGAGGCACACATCTCATACTGGGGTGTCTGGGTTCAAGTTCTGGGTCTGCTTCTCACACTAGCACCCTGTTAATAAGCACCGTGGCAGGCTCAAGTGGCTGTGCCCCGTCACCCACAGGGGATATCTGGATTGAACGCCTGGCTCCCAACTTTGACCTAGCCCAACTCTGGCTGTTGTGGACATTTGGGTAGTGAACCAGGGTATGGAAGGTCTCTTTCTCTCTCTGTCTCTCATGAGAAATAACTAAATAAAAAGAAGGCCACGTGAAGACACAGAGAGAAGAGGCTGTGTGACCACAGAGATGGAGACTGCACTGACGCAGGACACAGGCGTCAGAATTATCAGAAGCCACTGACTCCAAATTCACTGCTGAAATCCCAAGCCCCAAGTTGACAGTGTCAGGAGGCGGGGCCTTTGGGAGGCGATTAGGTCATGAGGTGCACGGAGCTCTCAGGAATGGAATCAGTCATTTTTCCTATAGGATTTCTCTTGGTGTGGAGATGGAGAGAATCCTCTGCCTAGGCACTGGGGTGTGGTCCTCCAGGCCTTTGAGAGAAGGTAGTAAGGAATTTGTCCTGCACCTCGTCTCTGAAAACGACTTCCAGGTCTTGGCAGGAAATCACTCTGGTTGATGGGGTCAATGGCTACCCGGCCTTAAAAAAATCACTGTGACAGATCTGTATCACATAGGGCAGTATCTAAGGGTCCCATAACCCACATGGAGCGCCAGGCTCCTAGCTTCGGCCTGTCCCAGCCCTGGCTGCGGCAGGCATCTGGGCAGTGAACCAGCAGATGAAGAGAGCTCTCTGTGTCCCTCCCTCCCTCTCTGTAACTCTGACTTTCAAATAAATAAAATAAATCTTACAACAAAAAAAGAGAGAGAGGCCAGCACTGTGGAACAGCAGGCAAACCTGCTGCCTGTAAGGACGGCATCCCACATGGGCACTGGTGGGTATCTCAGCTCCTCCACCTCAGATCCAGCTCCCTGCTAATGAGCCTGGAAGGCAGAAGAGAGGCTCCACGTATTTGGGTCCCTGCTACAATGTGGAAACCTGGCTGAAGCTCCTGACTCCTGGCTTTCTCCTGGCCCAGTGCTGGCCATTGCAAGCATCTAGGGGAGCGAACCAGCAGATAAAGATCTCCCTCTGTCTCTCCCTCTCTCTAACTCTGACTTTAAAGTAAATAAACCTTTGTTAAAAAGAGAAAATCACATGCAGGTGCACAACTCAACTTAGGAAGATCAAACAGAGAGAGAGCGTCAAGAGCATCCAGAGGACTCAGCCCCGAACATCCAGGAAAACAGTGATGCCTGCGACCACCGACGACTTCGTTTTTTAATTTATGATTTATTTTGCAAGAGTTAGAGAGAGAAAGGGAGAGACAGAATGAAAAAGGGAGAGCTTCCATCCCCTGGCTCCCTCCACAAATGGCTGCAACAGCCCGCACTGGGCCAGGCTGAAGCCAGGAGCCAGCTCATCTGGATCTCCTACAGGGTTGGCAGGGGCCCAAGCACCTGGACCATCTTCCACTGCTTTTCTTGGGCATTAGCAGGGAGCTGGACTGGAAATGGAGCAGCCAGGACATGAGGAGGCACCACGATGCCCGCCCTGACCACTGACTTCTCGTCGGGAACTGTGGGAGACCGCAGACAGCATCTTGGGGTTTGGCGCTGTGGTGCCGTGGGTAAGCCATGCCTGCGACACCAGCACTCCATGAGTGCCAGTTCAAGTCCCACCTGTTCCATTTCTGATCCAGCTCCCAGAATGTGCCTGGGAAAGCAGTGGATGACAGCCCAAGTGCTTGGGTCCCTAAGCCACGTGAGAGACCAGGACCGAGTTCTGGGCTCCTGGCTTCAGCCTGGCCTAGCCCTAGCAGTCGCAGGCCATTTTGGGGAGAGAACCAGTGGCTTGAACATTTCTCTCTCTCTCCTTTCAAATGAATCAATTCTTTCAAAAAAAAAAAAAAAAAAAAAAAAAAGAAAACATCTTGAATGTGCTGAAAGAAGAAAATTCCATGTTCTGTGAAATATGGATATAGAATAATATAAAATAAATAACTTCCAGTGGTCCCTTCCACTGCCCGTCAAGGTAACCTTAATCCTTGGGCCTAAAGCCTGAATTAAGATTTATCTTCACGGGCTGGAGTTGTAGTGCAGTGGGTAAAGCTGCCATCAGCAGTGTTGGCATCCCATATGGCTGCCAGTTCAAGTCCTGGCTGCTCCACTTCCCATCCAGCTCTCTGCTGTGACCTGGGAAAGCAGTAGAAGGTGGCCCAAGTCCCTGGGCCTCTGCATTCACATGGGAGACCCGGAAGAAGCTCCTGGCTCCTGGCTTCAGCCTGGTCCAGCCGTGGCCATTTGGGGAGTGAGCCAATAGATAGAAGATTCTCTCTCTTCATAACTGCCTTTCAAATAAAATAAACAATTTTTTTTTTTTTTAAAGATTCATCTTCAAGGAGTGGCTCACTTGGTTAATCCTCTGCCTGAGGCGCTAGCATCCCATATAGGTGCTGGGTTCTAGTCCTGGCTGCTCCTCTTCCAGTCCAGCTCTCTGCTGTGGCCTGAGAGGGCAGTGGAGGATGGCCCAGGTGCTTGGGCCCTGCACCCATGTGAGAGACCAGGAGGAAGCATCTGGCTCCTGGTTTCGGATCAGCACAGCGCTGGCCGTGGCAGCCATTTGGGGAGTGAACCAACAGAAGGAAGACCTTTCTGTCTGTCTCTCTCTCACTGTCTATGACTCTACCTGTCAAATAAATAAAAAAAAATTAAAAAAAAAAAGGAGTGGGTATTTAGTCTAGTGATTCAGATACCCTTGTCTCACAGTGGACTGCCTGGCTCTGAGTTCTGCCTCTTACATCTGATGCCAGCTTCCTGCTGACGTGCGCCCTAGGTGACAGCAGGTGATGGCTCAAGTAGTTGGGTTTCCGCTGTCCACCTGGGACAACCAGATTGGGTTCCTGGCTCCTGGTGTGGGCCTGGTCAGGCTACAGCTGTTGTGGGCATTTTAAGGAGTGAACATTGGATGGGCCTCTCTCTCATATAAGTAATTTTAAAATATTTATCTTCAAGATGGTCCCTTTAAAAAAAAAATGACAGTGAGAGAGACAGAGAGAAAGGTCTTCTTTCCACTGGTTCACCCCCCAAAAGGCTGCTACAGCCGGTACTGCGCCGATCCAAAGCCAGGAGCCAGGTGCTTCCTCCTAGTCTCCCATGCAGGCGCAGGGGCCCAAGCACTTGGGCCATCCTCCACTGCCTTCCCGGGTCACAGCAGAGAGCTGGACTGGAAGAGGAGCAACCGGGACTAGAACCCAGTGCCCATATTGGGATGCTGGTGGAGGATTAACCAAGTGAGCCATGGCACTGACCCAAGATAGTCCCTTTTAAAAGAACTGACTGGACTGACACTGTGGCACAGCCGGTTAAAGCCCCGGCCTGCAGTGCCAGCATCCCATTTGGGCACCGGTTTGAGTCATGGCTGCTCAGCTTCTGATCCAGCTCCCTGCTTAATGCAGCTGGGAAAGCAGCTGAAGATGGCCCAAGTCCTGGGGCTCCAGCACCCACATGGGAGACTCAGAAGAAGATCTTGGCTCCCGGCTTTGGATCAGCTCAGCTGAGCCACAGGTGATTGTAATCAAGATGAGATCCGGAGCCAGTCTAACTGGTAGCTCCCCTACATACAAACTACCTGGTCATTAGCAACCCAGAAGGTTTACCATGCAGAGTGCAGGCATCATGGGTGGCAGCTTAACCCACTGGGCCACACCACCAGTCACATGCCTGCCTTAGTTTCAAGCATTTTTTTTTTAATTTGACAGGTAGAGTTATAGACAGTGAGAGAGACAGAGAGAAAGGTCTTCCTTCCATTGGTTCACCCCCCAAAAGGCCGCTACAGCTGGTACTGTGCCGATCCAAAGCCAGGAGCCAGGTGCTTCCTCCTAGTCTCCCATGCAGGCGCAGGGGCCCAAGCACTTGGGCCATCTTCCACTGCCTTCCCGGGCCACAGCAGGAGCTGGACTGGAAGAGGAGCAACCGGGACTAGAACCCAGTGCCCATATTGGGATGCCGGTGTAGCAGGTGGAGGATTAACCAAGTGAGCCACGGTGCTGGCCCCTAGTTTTAAGCATTTAAGACTACATACATACCATCTTCTAAGTATCACTTCTGTTGCATTCTACAGTTTTGATATGTAGTATCTTCATTGTTATTCAAATGTGTATTTTCTGATTTCCACAATTTATTTGATTCATAAATTACTTAATTTTCAAAAAATGTATTTTTCTAGTTCTTTTTTGGTAAAAATTTATAAATTAATTGCATTGTAGTCAGAGAATGTGGTTTCTATGGTATGCCAAATGGTTGGCATTTACTGGCTTCCTGCCCAGTAAGTGACCTATCTTCATAACTTTCCTATGGGCCTTTGAAAAGATTGGATATTCCACAGTGTTTTATGTATGAACATTAAACCAAACTTGCTCACTGTTAATTTCTGGGTTTTTATTTGATTGATTTATTAATCACTGGAAGAGATATCTTAAAATCCCCAACCCTGATGGTTGATTTACCTGCATCCTTGCATTTTTTTCATTTTTCTTATGTATTTGTTTGCTTATTTGTTTAACTGAGAGGCAGAGAGTGAACCTTCTGCTGGTTCACTCCCCAAATGTTTACAAGTCTCAGGGCCGGGCCAGGCCAAAGCAGGGAGCCAGGAACCCAATCCAGGTTTTCCATGTGAATTAATGAAGGATTTTCTCAGGGCCTGTGCTGTGGCATAGCAAGTAAAGCTGCCGCTGGCAGTGCCAAAGTCCCAGCTGCTCCACTTCCAGTCCAGCTCTCTGCTATGGCCTGGGAAAGCAGTGGAAGATGGTTCAAGTCCTGGGGTCCCCACACCCATGTGAGAGACCCGGAAGAAGCTCCTGGCTCCTGGCTTCGGATCTGCCCAGCTCCAGCCGTTGCAGCCTCTGGGGCAATGAACCAGTGCATGGAAGACTTGTCTGTCTGTCTCTCTCTCTCTGCCTCTCTGTAATTCTGCCTTTCAAATAAATAAATAAATCTTTTTTAAACAAATGAAGGATTTTCTTCTCTCAAGACAGCCTCAGTGGAGGCTCCAGACAAGCAGGTGTCGTAACAAAGCACAGCGCACGCTGCGTGACCCCGTGTCTGAGAGGCCCAGACAGGTGCTCCAGGCAGGATAGCAACCACCTCTGCACGTGGGAGCTCCCTGGAAAGGGGACTTCCTCAGGAGGCGGGAATGTTTCCATCCGGACTGGGTGCTGGTCCCCAGAGTGTAGGGCAAGAGGACAAAGGTAACAGAGTGCTTCGGACGTGGGCACTTTGCTGTGTATAAACCGTACTCCAATGAGAAACAAGCCCTGTACAAACAGGAGGCCTGGTTGGTGCCTGTCTCGCTGACGGCTGTGTCGCCAGTCCCTTGAAGGGTGCCTGCTGCAGTAAACACGCTGGCTGCATGAATCAGTAGTGACTAACAGGGTTTCCCCTACCAATGGCTTCTTTCGTAACATTTGCGTGCACACATCCAGGAAAGGCAGTAGCAGTGGGGTTTCTCCCCCGTTCAGATGCTGAGACAGAACCATGGCCTCCTCAGGGCTGCTGGCCTCTGGCAGCATATTTACATATTTACACATTTACTCATTTACAACCTATTTAATGAAATGCAATGCGTACAAAGCTGTGTTCTAGAATCATCCAGAGTTAACTTTTATAAGCAATTAAATCTTTATAGAGAGACACAGAGAGCGATTTCCATCCATCGGTTCATTCTCCAAACGGCTGCAACAGCCACAGCTGGGCCAGGCCAAACCCAGGAGCCGGTAACTCCATCCTGGTCTCTCACATGGGTGGCCATTTTCTGCTGCCTTCTCAGGAGCATTAGCGGGAAGCTGGGTTAGAAGCAGAGTAGCCGGGGGCCGGCGCCGTGGTGCAGCAGGTTGATGCCCTGGCCGGAAGTGCCGGCATCCCATATGGACGCGTTGTCAAGACCCAGCTGCTCACTTCCCATCCAGCTCTGCTATGGCCTGGGAAAGCAGCAGTGGAGGATGGCCCAAGTCCTTGGGCCCCTGCACCTGCGTGGGAGACCCAGAAGAAGCTCCAGGCTCCTGGATCCCGGCTTCGGATCAGCACAGCTCCAGCCGTTGTGGCCAGTTGGGGAGTGAACCATCAGATGAAAGACTCTCTCTCTCTCTCTGCTCTCTCTGTGTAACTCTGACTCACAAATAAATAAATAAATCTTAAAAGAAGCAGCAGCAGAATAACTGGGATTGGAACTGTGTTCTGACGTGGGATGCTGGCGTCACACGGTGGGCTTAGCCCACTGCGCCATGGTGCAGGCTCTGTGACACCTGAATCTTAACTGCCAGGCTTCCTGCCCACCCCACGCATTTTCCATTGAAGTTTAACTGATACAGTGGAACGTCCACTGGCTCCCTGGCCTTCAGTGTGTCCTCATTTCCTGCGAAACTCTTGGGGAGGATCTGAATGTCCTGATGAGGAAGTCCCCCTTTAACAGCCCCTCCGGGGCCCACCCCAGCCTCTGAACCTTGAAGTCATCCAGGCGAATCTGGAGCTTGTCAATGGTCCCGTTCAGCACCAGGTAGTGACTCTTCATGTCCTCTATCTGATGGCCCCAAATTCGCTCCAACTCCTTGTCCTAAAAGGGGGAGACACAGACATCCAAAACCTCTGCTCCTGAGGTGGTCATGGCCAGAAGAGACCTGAGGGAGGGAAGAAGGCACCAGACCCAAGCATCTCTAATCACCATGTCAGCCGCCACCTGGGACACTTCTTTGTGGGCACCACAGTCACCCCCAGCTGGGATCCCTTCTTGGCCTCCTTTCAGCACCGGCACAAGTCCTCCGTCTGGGAGGGCCGTAGGGCCAGGTAATCCGCCACCAGCACCCCCAGCGCCTCCATCTGCCCAGAGCACTACTCTGCCAGGAACACTGACCTGTAGCCTGGACTTCTGAAGGCTGCTGACCTTCTCCTGCAGTAAGTCCATGGCTGATCCGAGCTTGGAAGAGTCGTGCATGTTGGCTGCAAGCAGAGGGGGAGGCAGGGAGGAGGCGGAGCTGGCAGAGCTCCACGTATGGCTCCTGGGCATTGGTTAAGGCAGGCATCTAGTGGGAATACCCTGCCTTTGAGGTCATTTTAGATTTTCTAGTAACCAGATTAAAAAAAAAAAAGCTAAAAAGATGCAGGCAAAATTAATTTTAGTAAAATATTTCACTGAAGCCAATATATCCAAAGTATATCAGTTTAATATATAATTTTAACAATATTATTGAGATTTTGCTTTTTGGCTTTCTTCTAGGCATCTCCCATTAAGAGTCCTTGTGACTTGGAACTTGCTATGTTTCAAGGACTTAGCAGCCACATGTGGCTCAGGGCAACCACAGTAGACAGCAAAGGCCTCAGGAAACCCCTTTGGAACTGGCCACCCACTCCTAGCATAATAACTATGCAGTACCTTACGGAGGAAAGACTAGAAGGGTACTGTCCTCCCACAAGATTAAAAGAGGGGGAAAAAGTAGCCCATATCCATTTACAGATGTGGGCATGAGAGGCCAAGAACAATGTACATGCGGTGCCTGGGAAGGCAGCGCAAAATGGCCCAAGTGCTTGGGCCCCTGCCACCCATGTGGGAGACTCAGATGGAGTTCCAGGCTCCTGGTCTCAGTTTGGACAAGCCCCAACCATTGCGGTCACCTGGGGAGTGAACCAGCAAATAGAAGCTCTCTCTCTCTCTGTCTCTCCATCTCCCCCTCTGTCTGTTATGCAGTCAAATAAATAAATAAATGATTTATTTGTTGTTTTTTTTAATATTTATTTATTTATTTGCAAGTCAGAGTTACACACAGAGAGAAGGGGAGGCAGAGAGAGAGAAAGGTCTTCTATCTGCTGGTTCACTCCCCAGTTGGCCGCATGACCGGAGCTGTGCCGATCCGAAGCCAGGAGCCAGGAACTTCTTCCAGGTCTCCCATGTGGGTGCAGGGCCCAAGGACTTGGGCCATCCTCCACTGCTATCCAGACCATCGCAGAGAGCTGGACTGGAAGAAGAGCAGCTGGGACTCGAACTGGTGCCCACATGGGATGCTGGCACCATAGGTGGTGGCTCTACTAGCTGTGCCATAGTGCTGGCCCTGAAATAAATAAATCTTCATAAAGAGAGAGCGAGCTTCCATCTACTGGTTCATACCATAAATGCCCACAACAACCAGCAGCCCGAGTCAGGAGTCAAAAACTTCATTTTCCCATTAATGGCAGGAATCCAAGTACTTGGGCCATTCTCTACTGCCTACTGGGGAACATGTAAGCAGGAAGCTGGACAGAAAATACAGGCAGGACAGACACTGTTAGGGGATGGGGGCATCTCAGTGGCTTAACCTACTGTGCCAAAATGTCCATCCTTCTTTGCATTTTGAATGTATTCCTATCTTAATGTTAGCTGTACATCAGTATTCACTGTAATAGGTATGGTTCTTTCCAGCTACATGAAAGAAGTATAATTCTTTTTTTCTTAAGATTTGTAGAACAGGGCCTGGCACTGTGGTGTAGCGGGTAAAGCTGCTGCCTTCAGTGCCAGCATCCAATATGGGATCTGGTTCAAGTCCCAGCTGCTCCACTTCTGATCCAGCTCCCTGCTAATGCACCTGGGAAAGCACCAGAAGATGGCCCAAGTGCTTGGGCCCCTGCACCCACGTGGGAAACCCAGATGAAGCTCCTGGCTCCTGGCTTCAACCTGGCTCAGCCCTGGCCACTGCAGCCATTGAGGAATGAACCAGTGATTGGAAAATTCTCTCTCTCTCCCACCCCCTCCCCCGCCACAGGTCTGCTTGTCAAAAAATAAACCATTAATTAAAAAAAAAAAAAAAGATTTGTAGAATAGCATCAGGGAAAGTGTCACATATGGATGTGACTAAGGTGAGTTCAACTACGGACTTGTCTGATAGTAAAAAAGAAAGATAAAGATGCACAGAGTTGCAGCCAGCACTGTGGTGTAGCAAGTAAAGCCACAGCCTGCAGTGCTGGCATCCCATATGGGCGCTGGTTTGAGTCCTGGCTGCTCCACTTCTGATCCAGCTCTCTGCTATGGCCTGGAAAAGCAGTAGAAGATGGCCCAAGTCCTTGGGCCCCTACACCCGACGTGGGAGACCAAGAAGATGCTCCAGGCTCCTGGCTTCAGGTCGGCCCAGTTCTGGCTGTTGTGACCATCTGGGGAGTGAACTGGAGGATGGAAGACCTCTCTCTCTCTCTGCCTCTACTTCTCTATAACTCTGCCTTTGAAATAAATAAATCTTTAAAAAAAAGATGCAAAGAGTATACAGCAATGGATCTTCAAAGTGGGTTTTTGGGGGTTACAGCATTAGCACCAGCATCATGGGGAATGGCTTAGAAATACAAATGCCTGGCCCCACCCCGATCAACAGGGGCCTAGCAGTCCACTCTACCGGACTGTCCCGTTCCGCTCTCCACTCCCTCATCGTGGCCATGAGATGGAGGTACGGATCTAGGGGTCCCCATGCACCCCAGAGCCTGACTGGGCTCTTTAGGGGTACACAGTTTTGCTCCTCATCCCCAGCTGACTGCCAGGGTTTGTTCAGTGTGCTTGCTCAGAGGGGCTGACCTGGACCTGCCGAAATGCTGCACAGGACTGCCATGGGGGCTGTGTGGCACGGCCTTCAGACAGTGAGCTTAGTGCGCCATTTCCCTCCTGACTCTCTCCTAAAATAAGGCCTCACTGCACATTTATTATAAAATAGACTAGGGGCCAGCACTCTGGTGCAGTGGTTCAGGGCACAGCCTGAGGCACAGGCATCCCATATAGGCATTACTTCATGTCTCGACTGCTCCACTTCCTATCCAGATCCCTGCTGATGCGCCTGGGAAAGCAGCGGAAGACGGCCCGAGTGCTTGGGCCCCTGCACCCACGTGGGGGACCCAGAAGAAGCTCCTGGCTCCTGGCTTCCGCCCGGCCCAGGCTTGCCTGGTTGTTGCAGCCATTTGGGGAGTGACCCAGAGGATGGAAGATCTCTCTGTAACTCTGCTTTTCAAATAAATAAATAAATAAATCTAAAAAAAAAATAGACTAGTACGATGCTAACACTTAAGCCAAAGAAATGAACAGCCAACAATTAAGAGACTCTGTAGGGAAAGCTGTACGAGAGGTCTTCTCCAGGCCCCAGGGCAGGCCTGAGGCCCCGCTGCCCTCCCCAGGCCGGGCTGGCCTACCTAGATACAGCAGGCGCTGCTGAAGGCTGTTGGACAGCCGCGTGAACTCTTCCTTCAGGGAGTCGTGTCTGACAGAAATCTGGGCTATGTGGCCCAAGGAGTTCTTGACAGCCCTCTTCTTGTCGTCAGGGGACACGGCCTGCATGGCCTGGGACGGGGTCACTTCGGGAGCGTGGCTGACAGCACCATACAGGGGAGAGTCCGTGTCCGAGTCTTCCGGCTCCTCACTGTCCTCGCTGAAGGCCAGGGATCCTGTTGCCCCGCGGGAGGACCCTGCGCCCAGGACATCTGCATACACCCTGAGGGGCCCTGCGGCAGCTCCCTCGGCTGCTGCGGCCGCCAGCTTGGTGGCGGGGGCGACCTTGACCTCCTTGGCGGCGGCAGCCTTGGCTGCTTTGGCTGCTGAGGCCGCGGCAGCTGCATAGGTTGCAGCTGCAGCAGCAGCAATGGCAGCAGTGGTTCTCATGGGATGAGCGGGAGGTGGGGGGGCGATAGGGTGTACTTTCTTGGGGGCCCCACCCTTGGGAGTCCCACCCTGAGAGGCTGTGGCAGAGTGGGCATAATATTCATCTCCCTTTTCTTCGATAGTGGAGAGCTGGTGGGTCTCCTGCTGGCTAGGGTGGTAGGGCTGCACTGCACGGGGCCATGCAGACCCCAACTCTGTGGCTGGGGGGGGAGCCCTGGAAAACGGGAGTGGAGGTTGCTGCAGGAGGCTTGACAGGCTTGGGCCAGGATGGAATAAGCCCGAGTCCAGCACAGCTTGGGGCCCACCTCTGGGTGGCAAAGACCATTCTCTGGCTGGCGGGGGCCCAGTGCCTGGGGCAGGTCCAGGCCCAGGCTCAGGCCTGGGAGTCTGAGGCTGGCCTGGCCCCGGGTCGCTGCTGAGTGGAACGTGGTAGGCAGACTCGCGCTCTGGCAGGAGCTCCGGGACCTCATACTGCCAGGCACTCTGTAGGAGCCTGGGGCTTCTGCTGGGCTGCGGGACGCGAGGGTAACTAACAGCTTCGAGGTGCTCGGGCTGCTCCGGGATCTCCCATGTGTCGGAGAGCTCCAGGTTGAACGCGGCAGCTCCCTGCAGGAGAGGGGCTGAGGGGCTGGGCTGGCCTTCCCCCACCGCCCACTGCTCCTCTCGGGCACCCCTCACTCACTGGGGGGAACATGGCCTCGTGGAGGTTGGTCCACAGCACCATGTCCTCGGGTTTGGGGATGGTGCTGATCTTGTGCTGGATAGTATTCTGTAGGGTGGGAGGGGACTCAGCCAGGAGCCTGGAGGGCGTGACCCCCGGGGCAGCTCCCCACCCTCAAGGCACTGCTCCTCACCCTTCCCCCCTCCAGCGCCCTGGGGAGGGAGGCCAGGGGCTGCAGCCCTCACCACTTCCCGCCACAGCTGGCTCATCTTCCGGTTCAGCACGCTCAGGTCTTCAAACAAGAAACCCAGTCTTTCCAAGGGTACCTGTGAAAGGGGCCGAGTTCGTGAGCAGTGGGTCCTGGTCCCATCCTGCTGCCCCCAGGCGAGGTGACTGCGTGCCTCAGAAAGGCCAGCAGCTCAGGAAGGGGAAGAGGGTTCCCCGGGCACGCAAGTTTGGGGAATGCAGGGCTTCTCAGAGCCGTGAACGGGCAAAAGCACGGTAGGGATCTCCAACAGGCGGGCTGGGGAGGATTGCTGTTCAAATACCTCTGTCCAAGGGGTCCTTATTGGTGTTTCCAGACACAGATTCCTGACTGCCCTTCCTACTCAGATGGGAGCTGCCCAACCTAAGACCACAGTTCTCGGTTTCTACGAGGAGCCAATGTGCAGGCTGACCGCGGGTCATGCTATCTGGGATGAGCTGTTAAATTTCAGCCACACCACCAGACTGGGGGTAGCAGACCCTGCTTCTGACCCTAGTCTGACTCACCGGCTGGGGACCAGCATGCTTCAGGGATTCTGTAGTCTTCCGATGCCACGGCGCAGGCTTAGAATGTGTTAAGAGTTACGGCTTGCGGCCACAGCAGGGGCCAGCATGTGTGCTCACACTGGGTTTACCCCAGTCCTCAGTGCAGAGCTTTCGACAAGAGGATGAGGCACTCTGTGTTCAGTTGGTGGAAGCTCAGGCAGAACTGCCAAGACTTGGGGGAAAACCAGATGAAGGCAGCAGTGAGGGCGGGGGTGGTGGTGGTGGCGGCGGTGGTGGTGGTGTCGATGTGAGCACCTAGATCTGGCTGTACCTGAAGGCATCCCTGGGCTTTTAGAAATGAGACGATCCATGCTCTTATTTTCCCTAAGCCAGGATAAACTGGTTCTCTGCCACTCAGAAACGCTGTCCTAAAACAGAGAAGGGCGCGTGCCTGGGAGGGCCAAGGAGGGCTCAGGACAGGCCAAGTGGCTGCCCAAGTCGGCCCCTCCTCTCCGCCGCTCACGGCTGTATCTGCTGGCTACAAACACACTTCCTAGATTCTCCTTGTCCCTCGAGGCACCAGACAGTGGTGTGGCCGTGGGGGTTGCCGGGGGCTTACCTTTTCAAACATGTCCTTCAGCATGTCCACGTCCTTCCTGAGCGTTTCCGTGGTGGTCTTGAGCCCGCAAAGGCCAGTGAGCAAGTCCTGCAGTGTATTTATGGACTGAAGAGGGAGACAGGAGGGGAACAGGTGAAGCTGGTGCGGCTGGGGAGACGGGAGGCGAGTGTGAAGGCTTCCTGCTGGCAGTCAGGGTCCCTGGGCTCCCCCAAGGCCTAGGCTGAAATGTGCTCCGAGCCCAGCAACTGACACCGAAATCAACAGTGCTCTGAGAGCCAGGCAGCCTGGGTGGGAGAGTTTGAATGTATTCAGCAATCAGGAATTACTCATCGCGAAGCGTCTCAAACCTTTTCTCTGTGTGATGCAAGCCGATCAGGGTGACCATGGAGGGAGGGAGGGAGGGAGCACTGCCCACCCCTGGGCGGGAGCCACTGGAGGACCAGAGCAGGGGAGTCATGCTGCATTTACCCTTTCAATATTTTAATGATTTATTTATTTATTTGCAAGGAACAGTGAGAGAGAGAGAGAGAGAGAGAGAGAGATCTTCTATCCCCCCATTTACTCCCCAAATACCCACAGCAGCCAGGACGAGGCCAGGCCACAGCTAGTATCCAGGAACTCTGTCCAGGTCTCACGTGGGTAGCAAGGGTCCAAGCACTCAGGCAATGGTCATCTGCCACCCTCATGGGTTCATCAGCAGGGAGCTGGATGGGAAGCCGAGTAGCTGGGACTAGAACTGGCACCTAGATACACAAGCAGCTTAACCACGGTACCACAATGCTGGCCCTCCACAGTTGTATTTTTAAAGGATCCCTTGGTCTGCATTTGAAGACTGGCTCCAGGAGGGCAGCCAGGGGACTAGTGGAGAAACGGCCAGGCAGGAGCTAATGACTGCAACACTGGGCTCACGGTTCAGCCCCACCACTGACTCAGGCTGGGTTCTAAATTCCTCAGTGATAAAATGGGTATTGAAAAAGGAGATAATTTGTGGGCTAGGGTTGTGGTATGGCAGGTAAAGATGCCACATGCAATGCCAGCAACCCATAAGTGTGCCGGTTCATGTCCTGGCTACTCCACTTCTGATCCAGCTCCCTGCTGATGGTCTGGGAAAGGCAACAGAAGATGGCCCAGGTGCTTGGGTCCCTGTGACCTGCACAGGAGATCTGGGAGAAGCTCCTGGATCCTGGCTTTGGCCTTGCCCAGCCCTGGCTGTTGCAGCCATCTGGAGAATGAATCAGAGGATGAAAGATTTCTCTGTGCTGCTTCCTCTCGCTCTGTAGCTTTTTCACATAAATAAATAACTTTTCTTTACAAGGTAATAACTTGTACAGAGGGCCTAATGCAAAGTTATGTAGTCATTTAGAAAAAGTAGCAAATAATCTTTGTCAAATAATCACATTAAATCTAACTGCATTAAATTTTATCTATACAAGATAACATTTTAGAGGCAGCCACTGTGGTACCATAGGTTAAGCTGCCTCCTGGGATGCCCTATCCCGTATCAGAGTGCTTGTTCAAGTCCTGGGCACTCCGCACTTCCGAACTCGCTTCCTACTATTGTGACATAGCAGGTGATAGCTCAAATACACGAGTCCCTGCCACCCACGTGGGAGGCTGAGACCCACCTCCTGCCTCCTAGCTTCAGCCTGGTCTCGTCCTGGCAGCTGCAGGTATTCAGGGAGTGAACCAGCAGGTGCAAGATCTCTTTCTCTCTGTCACTCTGCCTTACAAACAATTTTTTTTTTTGACAGGCAGAATGGAAAGTGAGAGAGAGAGACAAAGAGAAAGGTCTTCCTTTTGCCGTTGGTTCACCCTCCAATGGCCGCCGCGGCCAGCGTGCTGTGGCCGGCGCACCGCGCTGATCCAATGGCAGGAGCCAGGTGCTTCTCCTGGTCTCCCATGGGGTGCAGGGCCCAAGCACTTGGGCCATCCTCCACTGCCTTCCCAGGCCACAGCAGAGAGCTGGCCTGGAAGAGGGGCAACCAGGACAGAATCCGGCGCCCCGACCAGGACTAGAACCCGGTGTGCCGGCACCACAAGGTGGAGGATTAGCCTAGTGAGCCGCGGCGCCAGCCACAAACTTTTAAAAGCCACATTTTAAAAAAGATGTATTTTAGACTCAATGACACAAATAGGTTGAAAGTAAAAGACCAGAAAAGATAACCATGCAAGCAATAAACAAAAAGAACTAGAGGGGCTGCACTGTGGTACAGGTAAGCAGGTACCTGCAACACCAGTATCTCATATGAACAGCGGTTCAAGTCCCAGATGCTTCACTTCTGATCTAGCTCCTTGCTAACATGCCTCGGAAAGCAGCAGAAGATGGCCCAAGCACTTGGGTCCCTGCCACCCATGTAAGAAACCCAGACGGAGCTCCTGGCTCCTGGCTTCAGCCTGGCCCAGCTCCAGCTGTTGTAACCATTTGGGAAGTGAATCAGCAGACGAAAGATCGATTTTCTCTCTCTCTCTCTCTCTTTTTATAACTTAGCCTTTCAAATAAGTGATTAAGAAAAGAATTAGAGATGCCACACCAATATCGGACAAAGCAGACTTTAAGACAAGATCAGGGGGCCGGCACTGTGGCGTAGCAGGTAAAGCCAGTCTGATGCCAGCATCCCATGTGGGCATCGGTTTGGGTCCCGGCTGCTCCTGGGAAAGCAGTAGAAGATGGCCCAAGTGCCTGGGCCCCTGCACCTGCATGGGAGACCCAGAAGATGCTCCTGGCTCCTGGCTTTGGATCAGCACAGCTCTGGCCGTTGCGGATGATTGGGAAGTAAACCAGCAGATGGAAGACCTCCCCACCTCTGCCTCTCTTTCTCTCTCTGTAACTCTCACTTTCAAATAAATTAATAAATCTTTTTTAAAAAAGACAAGATCAGAGCAACAAAAGGGTGTACATAACAGTGAAGAGGGTCAGGGCTGACAGCATGGTGCAGCGGGTGAAGCCTCTGCTTGCAAAGCCAGCATCCCACCGCAGAGTGCTGGTCTGAGTCCTTGCTGCCCCACTTCCCACCCAGTCCTTTTTAATGCAGCCGGGAATGCAGCAGAGAAGGCTCTACCTGCTTGGTCCCCTGCCCTCCACAGCGGAAACCCAGATGGAGCTCCAAGTTCCTGGTTTCAGCCTGGCCCAGCCCCTGCAGCCAGCTGGGGATCTAACATCTTGAGTAGAACTCTCTGCACCCAACACAGGTAAGCACAGGGCAAGGCCAGGAAAAGACGGCAGGACCTTACAGGCCACTCCATGGTCAAGGTCTACATACAGAAGGAGCAATGGTATTTTCCCATAAACGGCTCTGTCCCCTTAAGATAGGCACAGTGAGACACCTTTCCCTGCAGACTCAGCCAGCGCCTCCCATGCCTGGGACGTGCCCTGGACTCCTGTCCTAGGAAGGAGGGGGCAGCAGAGGGGCCCTGGGGCAAGGGTCGAGGGTCAAGGGTCAAGGTCTTTTCTCTCCCTAGGGCCTGGGGAAAGGGTCGAGGGTCAGGTCTTTTCTCTCCCTAGGGCCGCTGTCCTGACCTCCCAGGGGACATTCAGGATTCAGGGAGCTGAGTTCTAGGGGAAGGGAGTCCTGGAAAGCTTCCCTTCCCAGAAGCCCCGAGATGTGCGGCAGCCCCGCACACGCAGGCACTTGCATCTTGCCCACCCTCGCTCCCTCTCCCTCTCCCTCTTTCTCTCCTGTGCAGGGGCGTCACAAACGCTGCACCTGAACTAGGGTCCAGAGCTTACGAAGGCCACGGGGCCTGATCTGAAGAAACTCCATCTCACACAAGCAGCTAGACTGGCCCAGGCGCCCACACAGCAGAGCTCAGGAGACAGGCATGGTAGCAACCCCCTTCCCCAAGCACGGCAGCTCTCTGGGAAGGAAGACACGACACCCCGTGGGCTTCGTTCTGCTGGTGCAGAAACATGGGCCCTGATTCTGAAAGGCCCCAAAGTGCTCTCTGCACCCCTAAGTGGTAGGAAGTGCTCTCTGCACCCCTAAGTGGTAGGAAGTGCTCTCTGCACCCCTAAGTGGTAGGAAGTGCTCTCTGCACCCCTAAGTGGTAGGATGAAACATTCAAAAACTGCTGTAAACGTATGGTCGTTTACTTTGTACAATACACAAATACTGCACAAAGCAGGGACAGGGAGGGGATTTTGAAATCAGGAAAGCAACAATGACGTGCTAAAATTCCATAAGATGGGGACAGCGCTATGGTGTAGCGGGTAAAGCTGCCACCTGTAAGCTAGCATCCTATATGGGTGCCGGTTCGAGTCCTAGCTGCTCCTCTTCCAATGCAGCGCTCTGCTATGGCCTGGGAAAGTAGTAGCAGAAGGCCAAGTCCTTGGGCCCCTGCACCCATGTGGGAGATCTGGAAGAAGCTCCTGGCTCGGCTTCAGATTGGCACAGCTCTGGCTATTGTGGCTATCTGGGGAGTGAATCAGTGCATGGAAGAGCTCTCTCTCTCTGCCTCCCAAATGAATAAAAAAATCTTTAAAAAAATTCCAAGGCTCGGGGCCAGCATTGTAGTGCAGTGGGCAAAGCCACCACTCGTGACACCAGCACTGCTACCTGTCAGCACCAGCTGAGTCCCAGCTGCTCCACTCCAGATCCAGCTCCCTGCTGATGCACCTGGGAAAGCCGCGGAGGGTGGCTCAAGTACGTGGGCCCCTGCCACCCAGGTAGGATACTCGGATGGAGATCCATGCTCCTGGCTTCGGCCTGCCCCAGTCCTTGTTGTTACGCCATTTGGGGTCTGAACCAATGGATGATCTCACTTTCTGTCTCTCTCCTTAGGTCTCTATAACTTTCTTTCTTTCTTTTTTAAAGATTTATTTATTTATTTGAAAGAGTTACACAGAAAGAGGAAAGGCAGAGAGAGAGAGAGAGAGAGAGAGAGAAAGGTCTTCCATTCGCTGGTTCATTCCCTCAACTGGCTGCAACAGCTAGAGCTGTGCCGATCCAATGATGCCAGGAGCCAGGAGCTTCTTCCAGGTCTCCCACGCAGGTGCAGGGGCCCAAGGAATTGGGCCATCCTCTACTGCTTTCCCAGGCCATAGCAGAGAGCTGGATTGGAAGTGGAGCAGCCGGATCTTGAACGGGTGCCCATATGGGATGCCGGTG